AATTTCATGACCTTGTTGATCAAAAAATAAAACTTAATATTAAACTAAAATCCACGGATGATATAGACTTAGCAGTAAATAGCATCACAAATATAATTCAATTAGCGGCATGGTCAACNATATAATTCAATCAGCGGCATGGTCATCCATCTCTAAAGTAAATCATTCCTATTCATATCATCCCTCTTTGCCGAGTCATATACGTGCACTTATAGTGGAAAAAAGGAGAGCAAGAGCCCTGTACCAACGACAACGTCTCCCATCTCTTAAACAAAATTACAATAGATTAGCTTACTCTCTCAAGAAAATTTTATCTAAAAATAAAGATCTTTCATTTGAAAATTACTTGAATAACCTCTCGACCAAAGATGGAAGTCTCTGGAAGGCAACAAAACAAACTCTCCAATATAAAGCCACATCGCCCCCAATAAAAAACCCAGATGGTAGTCTTGCTTCTACTGATGCTGAAAAAGCAGAACTATTCAAAAATCATCTTCAGGAAATATTCCTACCTAACCCTGAAACATCCTCAACAGTTACTACAAACACAGTACAAATGTATCTTGACTCTCCTCTCCCTATATCTCTACCAGTAAAACACTTCACGCCCAGTGAAGTAAAATATACAATACAAAAATACTCACTTAGGAAATCCCCAGGATTTGACTTAATTACAGCCGAAGTCACCAGATGCTTACCAAAACGTGCAATTATCCTTCTTACGCACATTTTCAACGCTACCCTAAGGCTCTCATACTTTCCTCTCCTATGGAAATTCTCTAAAATCATTTTAATCCCTAAACCAAACAAACCACCTGACTCCGTAAATTCTTACAGACCGATCAGCTTACTACCGTTTTTTGCCAAAATACTGGAAAGGCTTTTGCTTAAGCGTATCCTTCCGATCATGTTCGATAAAAAAATTATACCTGACTATCAATTTGGTTTTCGTGCTCAACACTCGACTATTCACCAAGTCCATAGAGTTGTTGACGCCGCCTCTTTTGCCCTCGAAAAAAAACTTTACTGCACCTGTGCATTCCTTGACGTATCCCAGGCCTTCGACAGAGTATGGCACGAAGGTCTGCTATACAAATTAAAGCAATTCCTACACCCAACATATTACATAATACTGAAATCATATCTCACAGACCGCTACTTTCAGGTTCATTATGGCTCTTCAGACTCTAATATAGCAGGAATTGCGGCAGGTGTTCCGCAAGGCGGAATACTCTCCCCAATTCTTTACAATAATTATACATCAGACCACACCCAACACTTTAGTAGCAGACTATGCGGATGATAAAGTCATAATATCATCCAGTTCAGATCCTATTATAGCCTCCAAAAACCTACAAAATCATCTCTCACTTATGGAAGATTGGTACAAAAAGTGGCGATTTAAAATAAACCAAGCCAAATCAGTACATACTACATTCACACTTAAATTAGCACCATGTCCAGAGATATCAATTTTTGGCACTCGGATTCCCTCATCCCCAAACGTTAAATACCTCGGGCTAACTATTGATCACCGCATTACTTGGGTTCAACACATCAAAGCCAAAACATCACAATTAAACTCCCGTTTACAAATACTCAAAACCCTAATCGTCAACAACAAACACTTAAACCTAAATATTAAACTACTCCTTTACAAATCTCTCCTAAAGCCAATCTGGACGTACGGTTTACAGCTATGGGGCAACGCAAAAATTTCTAACCTAAATAAAATTTAACGGTTCCAAAATAAAATACTAATAAAAATTACCAATTTTCCACCATATGTGTCAAATCACTCTCTGCATAAAGATCTACGTATGAAAACAATTCAAGAAGAGGCAAAAAATTATTATAAACGTTTCCATCTACGCCTTAGCTTTCATCCAAATGAGCTCATAAAAAATCTATCTTCATTAACCATCCCTGGTAACCCTCCTCGCCGCCTTAAGCGTAAATGGTGCAGAGACCTACTCAATCCATAAAAAAAAAAAATATAAATATGCGTATAAGGACAAAACAAAATAATTAAAAGACGAAAGTGTCATAGGTGGGTGGCTTCTTCATTCAATATTTCATTCTTGTTTATCTTAGCTAATACTCTTATTGTGCCGCTTGTGTATAGATTGTGTATATATTAATGAGGGAAAAAAAAAATCATTTTTTATATTTTTATACTCGTTTTTACTAATTAGTAATAAAATACCCAGCACAGGGGGGTCGCGGTACAGTGGTGATGTGGCATAGTTGAAGCAAGTATAATGATATCTGATACAGACACAAAAAAAAACACATCATAGTAAAACTAATACCTTCTCAGCTTCGCATCGAAGCTAAAAAGTGATAGAAAAAATCGAATTGCATATTTTAAATCAGCACCAATTTTTGGTTTAGCTAAGTATATTTTCGTCGAATCCGTCACAACATTTTATAAAATGAATTACTTACGGTATCAGTGAGATCCATTAACTTTGATATGAAAAAATACCAGGATCCTTTATTAAGCTAAAAACAAATTAAAAATAACTTCTATTAGAACAAATAATTTGTTAAAAATAACATATTAATTAACTTTGAATTAAACAAACGGTACATATAAATCAATTTTAATAGTGATGAAATTACAATAAAATACTAAGCGATCCGTTTATCAAACCCAATCAATTACATACAAAATAAAAATAATTTCAAGAATATTTTTTTTTTTAGTTGCATACTCGTATACATACAGAGTATTTAAAAAGTAAAGAAACGGTTCATTTGTTACAAACTATGAGAACGATAGAATTTCATTTACATATTTACTGAACACAGTATATGTAATTCCCAAAATGAACGAAAAAGAAACTCATTTTTTTAGAAACTATTGAGAATTTCAAATTTTATTAAAGAGAAAAAATATCAAGTTCAAAAAACTCTACAATAAAATGTAGTCAAACCATTATTTTTTTCGTTCCTTCAAGGATAGAAACCCTTATTTATAATTTTATAATATGATAAAAAAAAAATTACAAACAATGTTGTTCTTATAATTTTTTTTATCCGATTAACCGTTCGTCCGTTACAGCTTGTTAAAGTTAAGTGATTTTAGGCCAAATTTCTCTTGTCATTTTACTGTATTAAATACAGAAGTCATTATTTTTAGTTTCTGTTGTATAAACCAAATTTTATTAATCAAGTTATGACAGGTAAATTAGCTATAAAAATGTACAACACTCTAAATGAGTGATAACAATAATAGATTCAAACCGGGTTTTCGGTGTATTATTAATAGCTACGTCTATGGTTTTGTAAGACTAAAGGATCTAACAAAAATACCGGTTGCACTGCCACCGATACTATGAAACGTAATAAATGACAATATTTTTTCTGGAAATCAAAATCTTTAAACAATTATAAAACTTAAACGGTTATTCGGATAAAAAAATGATAAGAAGAAAATTGTTTGTAATTTTTTTTCTATCATATTATCAAATCAAAAATAGTGGTTCCCTTTTAAAAAAATTATAAATAAACATTTTTATTTCTGTAGGGATAAAAAAAATTCATTTAACTTCATATTATTGTAGATTTTTATAATCTTAATAATATTTCTTTTTACAACAATTTTAAATTTTCAATAGTATCTGAGAAAATTAGTGTCTTACCAGATTTCGATCACTCTGTATATATATAAGCAAGTGGTTCATGTACAAAAATTTATCTTTAGACCATCATCCAGTCTAAATTATTATCAAAAATGATATAAAAAAACCCAGCACAGGGGGGTCGCGGCACAGTGGTGACGTGGCATAGTTGGATCAAGTATAATGATATCTGACAGTGATTAAAATCACTATAAAAAATAAACGCTTCGATGCAAATCTTTAGATAGTGTTTAATTTTAAAAAATTGGTGTTTTATTCCAAAAGCTACTTGATCTGCTGGTTTCTTATTAATATCTCGATTAAGATAAAGTATGTCGAATGAAAAAGGGTTTATTAAAAAATATTATTTCTCATAAAAAAATTGTGTGGATCCATAAACTTTTCAATAGGTTATAGCATTATAAAGTTAAATATAGTNTTTTTAAAAAGTTATAGCACTTTAAAGTAAAAAATGTAAATTATAAAATCGAGAATTTTCACACGAAAATAGCATTCGGTAGCTATTTTCGCCGTGAAGACAAGTCCAGAGGTCAAATTTTTTTTTTTTCATATTAAAGTATATTACATTAGCTTTAATTTAAGGTATATATAAAATTGTCAGACCTTCTGGAACATTTTCAAAAGTTATGTTGAAAAAGTAAATTTGTTGTGAAAAAGTTGTCATTTTAAATCCCCCCCTGTGGGCAGGTTAAGTGTCAGATTTACAAAAAAAATATACCAAATAATAAGTAAAGACATCAAGCATCTATAAAAAAAAATTAAATTGATATATTAATTTTTGAAAAAGTTACGGCAGTTTTCAGTAAAAAAATGTTTAAATATTTCGAATATTAGCGATTTTTTAATTTATATTTTTTTTAAATTATATTGATATGTTCATTTTTGAAAAAGTTAGAGCATTATTAAGTTAAAAATAAAAAAAAAAATTATATTACAGGAATCGTAATTTTTTATTAACTTTGATGTCAACTTTCACCACGAAGACAAGTCCAGAGGTCAAATTTTTTTTTTTCAAATTAAAGTATATTACATTAGCTTTAATTTAAGATATATATAAAAGTGTCAGACCTTCCGGAACATTTTCAAAAGTTAAGTTGAAAAAGTTCTACTTTCTATATGCATTTTTTATATTTGAAGCCCCCCCATATATAGGGAAATAGTCTGATTTAAAAAAAAAGTATATCCAATGAAAGATGTATATAAATACTACTTCTCATGAAAAAATTGTATTGATCCATACATTTTTTAAAAAGTTATAGCACTTTAAAGTAAAAAATGTAAATTATAAAATTGAAAATTTTTACACAAAAATAGCATTTGGTAGCCGTTTTTACCATGAAGACAAGTTTAGAGGTCAAATTTTTTTTTTCAAATTAAAGTACATTACATTAGCTTTAATTTAAGATATATATAAAAGTGTCAGACCTTCCGGAACATTTTCAAAAGTTAAGTTGAAAAAGTTCTACTTTCTATATGCATTTTTTATATTTGAAGCCCCCCCATATATAGGGAAATAGTCTGATTTAAAAAAAAAGTATATCCAATGAAAGATGTATATAAATACTACTTCTCATGAAAAAATTGTATTGATCCATACATTTTTTAAAAAGTTATAGCACTTTAAAGTAAAAAATGTAAATTATAAAATCGAAAATTTTCACACAAAAATAGCATTCGGTAGCCGTTTTCACCATGAAGACAAGTCCAGAGGTCAAATTTTTTTTTTTCAAATTAAAGTACATTACATTAGCTTTAATTTAAGATATATATAAAAGTGTCAGACCTTCCGGAACATTTTCAAAAGTTAAGTTGAAAAAGTTAATTTTTTGTGAAAAAGTTGTCATTTTAAATCCCCCCCTGTGGGCAGATAAAAGGTCAAATTTACAAAAAAAATATATCAAATGATAGGTAAAGACATCAAGCATCTATATAAAAAAAAATTATATTGATATGTTCATTTTTGAAAAAGTTACGGCAGTTTTTAGTAAAAAAAATTGAAAAAATTTCGAAAATTAGCGATTTTTAAATTTGTAATTTTTTTGGAGGTTTCCCCCATTTACGGGGAACGAGGGAAATTTTTTCAATTTTGAAGGGTAATGTCTTCGACTAGATACGATTTGTGATCTTTTGACGTATCGTTGAAAGAAATCCGTTCGGTGAGAGCTGAGAAAAAGTGGTAACAGACACAAAAAAAAAAAAAAACAAATCATAGTAAAACCAATACCTTCTCAGCTTCGCATCGAAGCTAAAATGTTTTGACAAGCTGTGTCCGTACAAACCACTTACCTTAAAATAAATTTCAACAATTATCAAGAAAAATTAAATAAATTATATGTTAAGACTAGTTGTTGACAATCAATATTAATAAATATAAAATACTATTAAGATCACGAATTTTATTTAACAAAATAGACATAATAACAACAGTGTCATTTATTAATAATAAAATAATCCTAATCAGACTAATTCTATAATAAATAAATGTTAACAAATGTAAATTCGCAGAAAAATAATATATAGTTGTAAAAGAAGTATTATTCTAAAGTCAATATTCTTAATGTCAATTTTTAACTTTCAAGTTAAGATAAAAAGTTCAACCTTTTTTTATTATAAACTTTCCTAAAAATCAATCTTAAAGAATCAAAAAATAAGTTTAACTTATATTTTTACATGTTTTATTTGGTTTCACTTTTATTATTAAATCTTTAAAAAATATAAAATATTTTAGCTTTTGCAATATTTTTAGTTTAGATCATTTAGTTATATTTTTAGAAAAACAGAAAATAAAATTTGCATACAGTACAAAAAAAACAGTTTTTAAGGAAATTAAAAAAATATTAGTGTACTTTATAGTTTACAAGAATTTGTTTTAGCCATTATATTAACAGTGTAATAATAATGGTACATTGATGATAATTATTAAAAAATATCCATGAAGGTCTTAAAAAATAAAATACTACGTGAAAATTTAAGAATTTAAAAATTATTAGTTCTGTCCAATTAGTGTATTTTTTAAGTGATCACTATACAAGCCAATAACCAATAGAGGGTTAACCTCTTCTAACACCAGAAGTTAGTAATCATGAATTCTAAATCAGTTTACTGTCCTTGACTAAAACAAGTTAAAATTACTCTATTTTTAATATGCTTATTTGGCAAAAACTCGATACTATTCAGAAATATTTTTTGTTTTTTTTGACTATCGGACCAATCTTTATTGTATTTAATTTTTCCTTTAAATTAATTCATATATTATTTTAACGCTCATAAGTAAGTATATTTTTTATGGATTCTTAAACTGACTGACAGTTGGCAAGTTGAATGTCTATAGGTTAGAGTACCCATTATTTATAAATGGAAGTTTTTTCCCCTAATTTGTGAAGTGTATCCCATGGATTGTTTTCTATGAGTCTAACATTAATATATACAAATTTTGAGTTCTATATGAAATAATTAACAGAGTGCACTCTAAGGTCAAAGTTAATAGAAAATGTAAAATTTGAGATTTTGATTTTTCAAAAAATTTATCAGGATAGTTTTTAATTTACTAACAAAGGTGATCTTATAAATATTTTTTTCAGTCAAAAATGTCATCAATGGTTTCTATGGATAATGGGTGTGACAATCCCTCGTACTTCAGTCAGAAGATTTCAAGATCGTCTCAGGTAACAGGTAGACATTAATTAACATGAACGATTATGTTTATGTAATGCAAATGGGTAAACGTATAACAGATCAACTACTACGCACCAAAGAGAAAGAAAACAGAATTAAAGATTTTTATAGCCAGTTGACATGACCGTGTTCTTTACCATCGTACTGATCTGTATATCACTCGAGTTAAGATAGTATCACACCGACCATGTTGTATTTCTTTAAATCGCTTATTAAGCAAAACTCGAAATGTCTTATCACTAACTGGCATGCGCCGGCGCTAACAAATACAGGTCAACAGCCACCGGCCGCCAATGTGTCTATGATTAACAATTTCACAGTTTTCTGAATGATTTGTTTTTATTCTTTTCAATTATTATTAAAAATCAATAATATTATAGCTTTAAAAAATAGAATTTATTTTAGTTTAATTCTACTTCAATTACGTTATCGTTGGCCTACCGCTACCACAACATGATATATATGATTTGCGATAGTAGTCCTAAAAAAATTAAAAAAATTATACAAAATGAATTCAGGCAATAATGGAGTAAGATTAGCGACTTTACAAAAACGGTGAGTAGTAGCACATGCTTTTTCATAAAAAAAAAAACCATAAACAAACCTGGATATCGCCAAGGGGAATTACATGTAATCAGATAGACCTTATGATAGTAGATAATTAAATAAAACACTGGATTCAGGACGTAAGACGTTGTAGAGAAGTTAGCTNTTGTTTTTATTCTTTTCAATTATTATTAAAAATCAATAATATTATAGCTTTAAAAAATAGAATTTATTTTAGTTTAATTCTACTTCAATTACGTTATCGTTGGCCTACCGCTACCACAACATGATATATATGATTTGCGATAGTAGTCCTAAAAAAATTAAAAAAATTATACAAAATGAATTCAGGCAATAATGGAGTAAGATTAGCGACTTTACAAAAACGGTGAGTAGTAGCACATGCTTTTTCATAAAAAAAAAACCATAAACAAACCTGGATATCGCCAAGGGGAATTACATGTAATCAGATAGACCTTATGATTGTAGATAATTAAATAAAACACTGGATTCAAGACGTAAGATGTTGTAGAGAAGTTAGCTCACACTCAGAACTCTTCTTAGTTAGGATGAGATTGACACAGCCTCAGCGTTGTCACCCGTGTGACACCTCGCGATCGTGCCAGTTCCTTCTCAGTCACCGCTCCACTATAAACCGTACCTTTACACACACGCGTTATCATCGTATTGTAAAATTCAACAAAGTCCTAGTGTCAAATACCCGGCGCAATTCGCGTGAGGCAGTCATCTCAGTGACATCCTAAAGAATCGCATCGTTTCATCTGACGTATCTTTCAACCGAATATATCGACGCGACTACGGACAGCAGACATTGTTTGTACGAAATCTATACTTACATTTTATTTGTTGTATTTTTCATGTGCACCTTAACTACTCACAATCAACTTTAAATAAACACCACGATCCAACGAATCTAAATTGTGTCGTCTACGTTAATTCAACGCAGCACCTAATCTGACTACTGAGAGAACAGACAGAAAATTATTTTTATTAAAATAGAGAATCGGAATATGTAAAAGAAGTATGGATTATAGAAAGGAAGTTAGAGAATTGGAATACATCAATTATTTGTCCTATTTATAAAAAAGGAGATGCAATAGATTATGGTAACTATAGGGGGATATACATGCTATGTACGACTTATAAAATTCACTCAAACATTATTCTTAACAGTAAAAGACCATACGTGGCAGATATTATAGATTAAAAAAGTGGTTTCTTAGCGGAAAGATCGATGATTTATTATATATTCACAAGAAATATTATGAATTCAATAATAAATTTTAAATATTATTTGTAGATTTTAGATATGTGCATGACTCGGTAAAAAGAAAATCATCATGGATATATTTAAAAAATATATACCCGCCAAAGTAAGAGCAATAATCAAAATTTGTATAGAAAAAAAGATTCAAAGCAAAATTCGGACAAATATATTCAGTAGAGTTTAAAACCACCATTAGACTAAAGCAAAGTCATAAACGTTGCCCCACGATCCGCACCATCACTATCATACGTCGCCCTACTAAGAGTATTTGACTAACCAACACCGCGTGCCAAACGCCACGATGTAAAATGGCGCAAGACCAAAGACAATCCTCCGCAAATGTTACGTTGAGCCTTCATCCCGTTGTCAATGTGTTATCGTCGAGGATGTACCGGACTCGACGAACCAATCAGCACTCGCGCACTATTTCCATCAACGTTGCTAACTTTTTGACGCCGAAGATTATGCCGAACACCACGTCGCCGACGCCAACGAAAGTGCCGCGATTTATTCCAAGATTATTATTAACTATGTTTGTCTTTTGCTTTGTTTGTTTTTTTCAATAATCTGTTTTTGCTTATTAAAAAACGGCTCATGGACTTTATCCTCAAAATCAATGTCGACTAAATTATTCCAACGTAAGTCGTGTCAAAGATTAGGGTTGACACATTGTCGTATCAGTGCTTTAGCAGGCAACAGGAGCCTACATGTACCTAAGTTGTATCTAAGTGCCTGAATCTAAAGCTACAATCAAAGAAATTGAAAATGAGACAAAGTAATAATAAGAGCTAACAAAACGTATGCATGCGAGACATACAAACGTTAATTTATTGTCTGTACTAGAGAACATGGTTTTTTCCGTTGTTGAAATAGACGTGGTATTCTATCGAACTTCTATTAAAGACAAGCGAAGTTCAACCTAAGATGATACAATATATAAAATATTCACTACGCTACAATACGCATCTTAATTTTAATTATAATTGTAAAATATCTTACCTCAAGCAAAAGAAAATTGTTTAAGTTTCTTGGTATTGGATGACATAAATTATTAAAATGATGAGTGATTGCTCCGGGTGTTGTAAAAAGCTATTAAAAAAAATATATATATATACATATGCTTAGACTGTAAAAAATCTCAGAAAATAAACAAATTTATCCTTATTATTTAAATGACACTAATACCTCGTTGACTAAACATAATTTTTTGTTAGAACAATATATAATTTATTAAGCAAAAAAATAATTTGTTTAAATTTCAATATAATTGATTAAAAAATAAAAACATTATTGGCTTAATTTTTTTTCAGTGTAAATATAAAAAACCCAACACAGTGAGATCGCGGCACAGTGGAACGTGGCATAGTTGTATGCAGTATAGATGATATCTGACAGTGATTAAAATCACTATCATAAAAAACGCTTCGATGAAAATCTGTAGATATACATTAAATTTAAGAAATTGGTTGATAATTCTAAAAGCACAATGTAATTTTATTTTTATCATTATTCCTAATCAATTTTTAAATTATAAAGCCAATTTATGAATAATTATCTATTAAAGCAATTCAACGTAGTATGAAATTGATATTTAATTATTTAGTATTGTATTTTTTCGAAAAATTTATAATAGTGTAATATTCTCTATTTATTCTCTTTAATATATTCTCAAAATATACATAAACAAATATTTAAAA